CATTAGCTGAACCCAAGCCTAGCCCTCCTAAGCCATACCCCTGAGGGCAGCCACAAGGCATGGGCTCTCCCTCCCACGAGCTGCTGGCTCTTGTCCCAAACCCCACTCTTCCTGCCTTGGGAAAGGGCCCCACCTACGGGTGAAGGACCAAGGAGGAGCTCTTGGCTCCGTCATCACACCTCCCTCCACTGGAGTTCAGACCAGAGGTTGTAGGGAGAGCCCAGAAGAGCCAGGCTTGCTGAAGATGGGCCAAGGGAGAACAAGGGCACCTTTGCAGTGACAGTGCCATCTTCCAGTGGGTACAGAGCAGAAAGCCAGGGGACCCAAACTTAAAAAATGCTGGCCTAGATGTTGGAGGCAGGTTAGAGGTTTGCAGGAAGAGCTGGGGAAGAGCTCAGTGCAGACCTATCTGCAGCACAGACAGAAAACTAATCAAAACCTGCATCCTGGTTGTTTCTGATAAATTCACAATCCAGCATCAAACTCCAGGACCTCACCCACAGGTACAGCATGCTGATGGCCAGAAATGCGTCCTGGGACATGGGGGTCAAGCAAGAAAAAGCTTGGAAAGTAGATTGTTTCCTGAACTGCTTCAGGACTGCTTCATGGGGAGGTAAAGGATGCTGTAGAACCACCTGTGCCTCTCTGTCAACCAGAGTCTGAACAGCAAATTTAGGTGTAGTTGTCTCCCCTGTAGATAGCCAAGATTAGATGAACTCCACCCAAAGTGCACAGAGGAATTTCTTAGGTTCACGAATAGGTTAAACAAGCTATCAGAACTAGAAAACTCTGGTGCTGGGAATAGAGGACAGAAGTGCCCTGTACTTGACTTCTGAACCAACAAGTTGTTGAAGGATAATATCCATGATCCTCTATCACAGAATTTACAGATAATTTGGAAGCCACTGCCCCAAAGTTTAAGACAGCTGCCATGCAGAATAAGTGATAAGAAAAACCCTTTAAATTCTGTTTTGTTTTTTCAGAGAAGACAGCTGAGGGCGTCTGCACCTTCCCTAAGCCATCAGCTCCTTGGCAAACAGCCCATTAGCCCATTTCCTCTTCTGTCCCCATTCCTGCCAGGGCTCAACCAGCAGTGACAGACCCTGCTGCAGGTTATGGATGACTTGCTTGCTGGCAAGCAGACTCCACCTTCCTTTCTCCCAAGTGCCTTGACACAAAGGACAAAGCAATGCTTGTGCAAGCGTCACCAGTCCTTGATGCTTGGCTGATCAGCATCATCCCAGGCAGAGAAACATCAGAGTTTTTGCTGGAAGGGAGCAGGAACAGCTCCCAGAAGCAGAATACCCTGCTTTGTCCTGAAGCGGAGCACAACCCTTTCACCCTTTGCCATGCTCCCACCCGCCTTCCCAGCTCCCAACCTTCAGTCCTTTCAACACCCACAGTTTTTTCCACTCTTCCATGAAGATATGAGAAATTCCCTGCCAGAGGATTTTGTTCAAATGAGTTTTTTTTTAAAAAAAAGCAATTCCCTACTCCAGGCAAATAAGCTCCTTCTTTTCACCATGAGGAAGAAGGATAATAGCAGAGCCAGGGGAAAAAAAATCACAACAAACGATCCCCAAATCCTTGCTGTAATCAAAAGAATAATTGCTCCAAGAGATTTAAGCCTATAGCTGAGTCACTAAAATGAAGAAACTTCTCCATGTCCATAGAAAGCAAACAATTCTTAGGTCATGCAGCAGAGATTCTCTACAGACTTGTTAGAAGGAAAGAAAAAAGCAGCCAAATGTAATTAAACATAGTCCCAGAAGAAAGGATGAAATCTCTGTAATTAACTACCTAGACTCATCTTTCCACTTTTGAAAACTAATCCAGCTGTCTACTTCCAACTTTCACCCATGGGGCTGCCACAAAAGTCTGTTGCAAACACCAAATCACCTCCCTTTAGGGGTACATTCACCTGCAGCAAGTGATCCCACAACAGCTTTGCAGAAAGTGTACAGGGAGGGAGAGCCTCTGCAGAGTGCAAACAGAGCTCCTTTCCTTAGTCACCTTTTGGATGAACCTTTAGGGAGTTTGCACTCCCCAAGAACCTGTGTAGCCCTCAGCTGAACTACAGGAGTTATTTGCAAGCTGAAGGTATTTTATATCCACAATCCTGACCCAAATGATCAATTCCCAGAAAATGCCAATTTAAAAAAAAAAAAACCAAAAACATACCAACAGGAAAACACTTTCCAAATGGTTAGTCACAACTGCTTGTGTTAATAAATTGGCATCTACTTCATTCTCAGCTAGTGAAATTTGTCCAACCAGCAAAATTTTGGAAAACATGGGGGGAAGATGTAGCACTTCAAAGAGAAGAAGAAGAAGGGCTGGAGCTGGTGGTTACAGTTTAACAGTGGAGGTCAGGATCTAACATCCAAAAAAATCCTATGCAAATCAGAACAAGACATTCAACTTCCCCAGGGCTCCCTTCATAAATAAGGGTTGATAAACATTATTCCAACAATAAAAACAATAGCAGACCAGTTCTTTAGGTCAAATACATCAATGGTAAATACAATACAGAAGAATAATACTAAAATGACATCAGCTGAGGAACTGAGAGTGATTTCTATTCCGTCTCTTGTATACAAAACACTGCTAACATATGAATAACGCTGTCAACAACACATGGGGAATTCTGGCCAGCTTTGTGGTGAGGAAAAGCAAGAACACAGAGTGGACAGAAATCTCCAGCTTTGCTCTTTCATGACACAGCAGAAATACTTTTTCAATGGGAAGTGATTGGGTCATTCTTCTGGGGAAAAAAAAAATGGAAGTGATTACACAGCCCCAAGTAGAGCTGGAGCCTTCCTGTACAAATGTGGGAAGCAGGGAGGAAGGATTAGCAGCCAGGCTGTGGGACACGGCAGCAAGGCCAAGGAGCCTCGGGCATGTCCCTAGGGCAGCACCCGCTCCTTTCCCCAGGTGGGTGCGGCAGACGCAGCCGGAGGGATGGCGATGCTCTGGGGGCTGTTTGTGGCACAGAGCTGCTCTCACCTAATTCCTGCTCTCCACCGACACCAGCCAAAACACTTAAAGCCCGCTGGATTGTTCCTCTAATCTTTGCGCCGAAATCTGGCAGAGGAGCTAAGCGCAGCGGGGTTTGGCTGCAGGAAACACCCGGAGGGGCTTCCTAAGCCTGAAGCTGCTGTTTATCCAATCCTATCAACCCTCTGTGCACATCAGGGTGCTGAGGAGGCCGCTGCCAGCACGGCAGAGCTCGTCCCGTGTTAACAGAAATTCCTGTCGCCCCTGCAGCAGGATGCAGGGATGCTCATGGAGCAGGGCGGGCGGTGCCGCAGCCGGGCTGCTTCGCCCAGCCCTGCGCGGCTCTCGGCAGGAGCAGCGGGCTGAAGCTGCCCTCCGCAGGACGCAAGGGAAACATCCCCTGCAGGGAAAGCAGGTCCTTCTCCACGGATCTCACTTTCCCGTAATTACGGACAAGGCTCGCTTGCTGCCTGACAGCACCAAGCACTAACATCCAAAAGCTAGACTGCCGTCAAGTCAATGCTTCTGACTATTAAATGATACAGGAGATTCCCTCCCCCTGCTGCTGTTCTATAAACCTGTGACTGATGCACACACTGGAAAGTGAAACCCCATAAATTTTTGCTAGATAGCAATGCTGCTTGTATGCTGATGTTTAAATATGGGCATATAACCAAAGCTGAGAACTGAGGTAACCTTTACTTTCAGCTAACACATAAAGGTCTACAATCTCTGTATTTGGTTAAAAATAATACTTATTAAAACCAGCACTCGGCCAGCAACATCTATCAATGCCTTTAACTGCTAATCAATTAATATTATGTATGTCTCCAATTTTAATTTTATGTAACCATGTAATAACTACAAAATAAATCCTCGTGGTCAGTTTTGGGTCACTTGGCCAACACTGCCAAGGTATGGCAGTCAACAGGTTTTAGGGCTGCTCCCTAAAGTTACAAGGTTAAAGTGTTCTTCTCGACCCACAAAAGGATTTCACAAACTAAATTGCATCACAGCACCTGAATGCTTGTGGATGCACAGCAGGGTTCAGAGAGCAACACACGACACCCCACATCATAATCCACTGTGCTCTGTGCAAAACACCCAGGAGATGTATGAGCATGAACAGTCCACAGAGCTTATGGCACCAGGACAAGGATGAGAGTGATTTTTACCCTCTATCCTGTGCTGTAGAGCTCTTTTAACCTGAGTCTGCGGAAGCAAGTATCTATAGTAAAGAGAAGTAGAGCATAACAAAAACCTGAATGTCCACCAGGGATTTATCCCCCACCAGAGCAATGCTGGGGAATCCTCCAAGGAGATTACAGCCACATGCACTTCACTGCCTGCAAAATTCTCTGACACACCATATCTTTTGAGCATTTTTTCCTACTGCAGAATGCAAGAGAAGGTGGCAGCCTTCTATGATGTGCCAGGCTGTGGAAAGTCAAGATGGAATTGTCAGGTGTGTGCTCCGTCTTGCTGTGACAGGGTTAGACCTCCTCACTCTCTTCCCCCACTGTCCCAAGCCTGCCTTCCCCTTTCCCATAGTCTTGCCCTATACTGAACGTCCCACAAAGACACCATTTTTCTGCACAAGTTTTCCTCCACAGTGCTCCCGATTTCCATTTCTCAGTTGTACAATATCATTTCTTAAAAGCTCTTTCAGCACACTCAGCTCCAAAGACAAGACAATTGGGAGAAAGACAAAATCGACTCTTCAATCCAGCTCATTTTTAAATGTATTTAAGTAGGCAGAAGGTGAGATTTTCAATAAGATCTCCTTGAAAACAGTGGGAGTATTCCTTGTAGCAGCATGGAAAGCAAAATGTTGAGTTCTGGTATGGTCCTCTACTGCCACCAGGAGTAAGACAGCATCAAAAGCTGCAGGGTAGCAAAATATCCCTCAGCAGCTCCCTCAATGATTGCAATAAAATCAGTACCAAACAAGTGGGGCACTCACCCGAATTTGGTGGACAGAACACCTCCCACGACAGAGCCAGCAATGATGCCCACTCCAAAGCAAAAGCCCAGTTTCCCCAAAGCACCAGCACGCTGGGAAGGAGTGGTCATATCTGTAATAACCTTCTGAGCACCTGCAGGGGGGGGGGAAAATATCTTACCACAAGGTTTGAGCAGATGCCCCTACAGTTCCCATGGTTTTATTGCTAAGCCATTAGGAGTTTTTTGGGTGGTGGGGCTTTTTATGCTTGTTTTGGGGTTTTTAGTGGGTTTTTCTGGGGTTTTTGTTTGTTTAGGGTTTTTTTATTTGTTTTGGGGTTTTTTGTTGTTGTTGTTTTTGTTTGTTTGGTTTTTTTTTTTTTGTTTGTTTGTTTTATTTTTCCAGTTAAAACTTTTCTGGGCTGATTTCTTGTTAAAGGCAATTTCCCCATCTTTTAATTTTCATACTTAGCATGGAAGAGGGCTTCCAAATAAACACTGTCAAATATCCTCTGGGAACCCCATAATCCATCAGTTTTGAACACAACAGCCCACCTATCATGAGAAACAGAACCATTCAAACCACTCAAATAAACCACAAGTGATAGGAAGCATTATCAACTTGATTTATCTTGCATGAGTTACATGGACTCCTAGTAGCTGAAATTTATTATTTTTACATGAAAAATATAGGAAACATCAGCCAAAACAGAACAGCTTGGTGGGTAATGGAAGGTATTTTTGTAATAATGTTTATTTTTTAACAGTACGCTCACTTTACCAGGAGAAAGGGAAAAGCTTTTGTGTAAAATATCCTGGTTGCAAGAAGGCAGCTGAAAGGTCTGGGGTAACACTGCTGGCAGCAAGTGACTTGCACCCACGTCTGGATGATCAAGGCCAAAGAATTTCCTCAAGATTCTACAGGGAAATGGGCCTGGAACTTGGACTAATAAGCAGAATAAAACTGTTTTCCACAGGCAGTACACCTGCTGCTTCATGTTCCCACCATTTCATCCCTGAGGACCATTGCATGTTCCTCTTGCCTTCCTTCTGAAGTCCCATTGACTTCCCCTAAAACAAGCAAGAAGTGGGGGAACCAGGCAGGAAAAGCAATTTGGAAAGCTACTCATCCCTGACTGACTTTACCTGGTATCCCATGCATGAACACTCCTGGCAGCCTGGAGAGGAAGAGGAGGGGGATGTTGGTGGAGAGGGACATAAGCAGGAAGAAGATGCTTCCAGATGCACAGGAGAGAATTAGAGCAGCTCGGGCACCAAATTGATCTGCAAACCTGGTACAGAAATGGCACATGGTTGTCAGTTTTCTATTTAGAACAAAATTAAAAAGAAAGAAAAAAAATATTTCTCAATAGTAAGTCAATTTTGCTCCTGTTTAAGGGGAAAAAACAATACCACAACTAAACATATTAACAACCACAAACACCTTAAGCCCCAAAACACAAACAGGCAAAAACCCTTGTCAGACCAGGTTTTGATCCAGCTCCAACTCTTTGCTGTAATTTAACTCCAAAAAAGCATAAGTTGGACAAAGTCTGAGAGCAGCATAGAAAGGGTTCTGAGCAACAGGGGCTAAGATGACCATAAAACAGGCCTTAGAAAGAGTTTCTCATTGCAATTCCTTCTTCCTTCACTTTATTGAAGCTGCATATTATATTACAGTTAGCAGATGAATATTACCTTGCATAGCAATTAGTTGTGTTTACACTAAGAAGAACAGCCCCCTAAAAATGCCAGGCTTGTCCACAAACAGCGCTAAGCTTAAGCAGTTCAAAGGTTTTGTGTTGAGAGAGAGGTACAGGTCAAAACTTTGCTGTTTACATGTAAGCCAGGGCAGTTTACATTTGCTGTTTGTAACCTAAAGACCAAAAAATCATTACACTGTTGGTATGGGGATTTTTTGTTTTGTTACTTAAAAGTAAAGACAGTGCTTTATCTTTTCATATCTATTTAGCAGCATCAAGCAAGAACATGAAAAACTGAGCTAAGAAACACATTCTCTCTTATCACTTTTCTTTCTATTTTCTATTTAATCTGCCCCTATGACATCAAAGCAGTCTCATGTCTAGAAAAGTTCTTTTTATCTCAAACCTACATTGCAAATTTTGGCTTCAGTCTGGCAAAGGACACCTTCAGTCCCAGACAGATTCTGGTTTGCCATTTTCCTTCCTTTCAGCAGTGATTCTGGATATTAGTGAATGACATGCAGGGAGGAGAACCAGATTTCAGATGGCACCAGATCCAGGTCAGAAATACTACTCAAGGTTTGTGTATTAATAGGAAAAGCATTAAAAGTGGGCCTTTTGCACCATCTCCATTCTTAGAAATGCATTTTCTGCCAAGCAGTACTGTAGAATCAAATGTTGCTGTTATTTATTTGAAAATGTGTCCAAGGGTTGATATTAGATCCTCAAAGTGCCACACTCCACGTACCAGAGGATCCTGTAAAGCTCCCAAACTACATCAGCCAGAATGTAAATTTCCTGCAGGTAAACTGAAGCAGCACATGCCAGCTCCCTCTCCATTTATTAATTTGCTGATCAGTAGCAGGATCAAGAAAAGAAGTTAGATTTTTCTCAATCCCATTTTAGTTTTCTGTCACTGAATTATACATATCTTTCAGGGTTTTATTTTTCCTGGTCTTTAGGAATGTATTCTCCCACCACTCAATTTTTATTTAGGGCTATTTGCATTTCATTAGGAACAGGGTAAAGAGGCAGAAAACCCAAGTATTTTCCACTCTTTTCTTATATTGATAGCTTGAAGTTTATAGATATTCCTAAAAGATTCTTAGAAGTTCTTAACGATCCATGCAAGTCTAAATTTGTATTCAACATGGATGCAGATTCAGCTGATGAAATGACCCAACCTTCACTTATTGTAACTGACAGCTCTCATCAATAAATACCCTCCTTTTTTTTGGTTTTGTTTTTGTTTCCCAGTCACAAGACATTTCTAAGGTTACAAATGGCTATAAAACATTTGCAGAATTAAGCTGTTAGGACCTGGGCTCTGAGGAGTCTAGGGGCTTAAGACCATTCCCAGGATATTGTTACACTTAAATGTGTGTCATTAAAATGTAGCTAAGTTAATATAAAGGCTGCTTCTATGCTGCAGTATTTCTAATAATAGCATTTATTTTCCCCTTGCTCGTTATGAAATCCTCAAACATTTCAACAGGACCACAAACCAGAAAAAAATTATTTTTATGAAAGTGTAAAAATGCCTGGCCTTTTTCAGCTATGTAAAGGATCATGAGAATCATTCTCACTTACCTTCCAAAAATATAACCTCCCACAAGCTGGAGGACACCAAAGATGGTCTGGAGATAGCCAAATCCCACTGAATCCAAACCTAGGCTCTTTGCCAAGTACTAAAAAAAACCAAAAACACCAAACCACCTCAAAAAACAAATAAATGGAAAATAAGCATGCTATATTTATGAATAAACATCTTAATATCTGTGTGGAGAGGATCACAGCTCCAAACAACCACTTCCTTCAGTTCCCCTCCCCTGCAGACACTGGCAGCTTAATAAAGACCACATGTCTCTATCCCATACCCTGAAGGACAAGGAGATGTGATCAAAACCATCAATTTTGCACCAGCTGACAAATTTGTATCACCATTTACCTTTGCAGTTCAACACAGCTGAACGTATTCAGCAACTGCTAAGGGGAATAAGGGAAGTTTTAAATGCCTTTCTGCCTCCAGACCCTGCACCTGGAACAGCCCAGTCACCCTCTGGGAGATAACTATGGAAAAGTTCTGGAGCTGTTGTTTAATCAAGCAAGCCAGAATCAATGAAAGTAAATGAGCAAATTCTGCCTCTACTGGGTGGTACACCCACAGCCTGAGCTTGCAAAAAGCACAGATGCACACCTTGAAGAGCCAATGGGCAGTTATTTCTGATTCATGTGTTTGTTGTGTCATGCTTTTGTTTCGCCTGAAGGTGCAGGGAGACCTCATCTCACCCTGCAAGTGCCTGAAAGGGATTGGTAGCCAGCTGGGGTCAGTCTCTTTTCACAAGAACTAGCAATAGGACAAGAGAAAATTACCTCAAGTCATGCCAGGGATGGTTTAGATTGGATCTTGTGAAACATTTCTGCACTGAGAGGATTGTCAAGCACTGGAACAGAGTTTCCAAGGAAGTGGTGGAATCACCGTCGCTGAAGGTGTCTTAAAAATCAGGGACATGGTTTGGTGGTGGACTTGGCAGTGTTAGGTTTCTGATTGGATTCAAGGACCTTAAGGGTCTTTTCCAACCAAAAGTCCTCACTGATTCTATAAAATCAGACAGAAGAGTCCAGTAAGTGAGAAGTAATGAATCCCACTGAGCTGCTTAATTACACACTCAGAAAAACCTACCTTTGATCTGAAACCTCTGCTTCCTGATCGCTACTGGATGGGTCACTCCCACATTCCATACAAGAAAACTTGTGTCTTCATCACATCAACATCAGCTTCACCCAGAGCCCTGAGGCCAGGAAAGGGCTCTAGGTGCTACTGCAGCCCAAGAAATAAAGCAGATTTTATGGCCTCAGTGTACCCTGGACAGACACAGCCTGCCTCTTTAGTAATGACACCAAGTACTCCTTTCGGTTTCAAGGATACCTTTCCTCTTTCCTGCTAAAAACTATCTTCTGACTTTGCTGGGAAACTCCAGAGTCTGGCATGGAAGGAAATGTGCTGTGGAGCAAGAGAAGCCATACTCACAGGCACGACTCCCATCTGCATGAAGAGGAAGGTCAGGTCCAGGGCTGCAATCACGTAGGCAGCACGGATCACTTGTCGCCTTTTGGCCTCTCCCCAGCAGCCACTCTCTCCCAGGGTCTCATTGCTCATTCCTGAGGTTTCTTCCTCACCTGCAGAGCTGGTTTTTGCATTCATAGTGCTCACAGAATGGCTGGCTGCGGGACAGGCTGGAAAATGACACAAAGGCACCGGCTAGTTGTGAACGCGAAGCGCAGATAAGGGGCACAAGTTGGGTGCACAGTTCAAAGCTTACAGTGTGAAAGGTGCTGAGCCAGCATGCCACGGATTTAATGTTTCTTTCTTTCTTTTTTTCCCCTCTTCCCTTTGCTCACTTGCTAGGCAGGATCAAAGGTAACTGCATCAAACCGCAAATCTGGTTCTTCAGGATCGCTGCTCCAAGTGCCATCACAACAAAAATCAGCTGGGGTGTCCCAGCAAGTGAAAGTGAAAATTGCCCCAAACAAGAGCATGCGATAAGCTCTTCAATTCTTTTAACTACTTCACTTCCTTCACTTTTACTGCCCCTGGTGGCTCAGGAGAGATGACTGTTTTAACTCTTCATGAAAGGCACTTTGCTTTTATTTTTGGAGGTTGCAAGTGAAACTTACAGCAGAACAGCTATTTCCAATTCCAGTAGGTTTATAGAGATCCTGGAACAAATCAAACTCTTGCGTGTAGTCAGAGCCCCTCTCATCACCTTTTCCTGAGCCATTTTCCCTCCTTTCCAGGTGCTGTAAATTTATAGTAATTCTGAGCTAGCAAACATTCACATGTGACTCCACTCAAACTACAGATTACCAGCCAAGGTCAAAAACTCTAAAAAAAAAAGTATTAAATCCACACAAATCATGAGACTGACTGCCAACTGGGAAATGAAATAAATAAGATTCATTTGGCCTTTGGGAGTTATATTGTTTGGTTGCTTGTTTACTTAGGGTTTTGTTAGTCTGCTTGCTTATTTGCTTGGGGTTTTATTTATTTGTTTTCTTACTCATTGAAGCCTGGAAGTCTGGTTAAGGATTATCTTTCTTTTGAAGAGAAAAAGAAGGCAGGGGTTCCAGTGCTCTGACTTTGCAGACTTAAAGGACTTTTGGAAGGCAGGGAATGGGAGAGCTCATCCACCCTGCTGCTTGAGTACCTCAGTTTAGCTGTGGCTTTTTCTAGGCAAGCTTTGAAAATCTCAAAGAAAAGTGATTTTCCCCCTTTTCTAAGTATGTGGGAAAGAAGTTTTTCCTACTGTCCAATCTGAATTTCTTGTGCTGCAGCTTGACCATGTCACCCAGTCCCTCTAATTTAGTAACATCTCAGCTTAAAAACAGCCTTGACTCACCATAAAGGCTGGCACAGACACATCAACACAGAGACATACACAGATGTCTGCTGCCTTGGATCTGGAGTGGTTGTCAGAGCTCCAGGATTCCAAGCAAGCCTAGGGAGAGTGACCTGCAAGGTCTCTGGGCACACCTTTTTGTTCAACATGTCACCACCAAGCCCTGGGATTTGCTGAAGGCTGCCAGGCTCTACACCCTGGCAAAGGAGGGGGAAGTCCAAAGGTTAAATCTTTTGTCAGGGTTGGGTACCATATCACTGGAGATTGCACAGAAACAACCCTTCACAAACTCAGAGCATGAGTGAAAAAAGCACCTTTAAAAATGACTTTCCTACAGCAATACTGGCACTCAAGCAGATCCAACTCACAAGACCCCAGAATTTGTATTTGTTACTGAGGAAGGATGATTACCCAGCACGTATCCCAGCTTAGCAAAGGATCAGTGCTTGACATTTGGTTCATCTCAGCGCAAAACAATGGATTTGCCTGCACTTTGAACGTCCTTCAGCACAGTATCAACATCATCACTCCCTGGCTTGTGCTGGATAGGCACAATGTACAAATTACCATTGAATAGAAGAGTAAAATTAATGACAGAATTCTGTCTATGGAGGTTTTGAGACAACCAAAAAAGCGACTCATGCAAATGCAATGTACAACTGTGCTTACAGGAAACCTTGCTGCCTTGGACTTGAAAAGCATCAATAATTTGACTGGGGAGTTTGTCTCAGCAGCAACTGAAAACAGATCCCAGCAAGGCAACCAGGACAGCAAAGACTTGCAGATGCAGCCACTCTCCACCACATAGGAGCCTCATCCTGCCAGGGCATGCAGTGCAGACAGCTAGCCAGACACATGCTCTCCCTTGGATTTGGCTTCTTTTTACTGGCATTGACAAGGGAAGTGGAGTAATAAACCACAGAGTGTAATTTCCAGCTTCTGGGGCTAAAGACACAGTTCTAAAAAGCAGGAAGCTAAATGTGGTTCCTGGTGTGGAGGTGTCCATGGAGAATAAGCTGTGATCATCAGTTCCTGTACACCCTCACCCCTGGATGGTTTAGCACCCAAGACTGCTCCTCAGCATCCCAGACCAGGCTGCAAGTAAGAAAGTGCCCTGGGCCCAACTTGGTGATCCTCTTCTAGCCCAATCATCCTTGGGCAGGATCATTTCTCTCCCCATCCCTGAACTTTGACCCACACAGGACAAAGACAAGAAGGTGGCAGTTTTAAGCCATCTTTACAAGCCAATGGCTGGGTCATGTCCCTGCTGCCCTGGCCCCAAGGATGCAGGGATGAGCTGTATTCTCCAAACCTGGCCAAGATGTTGGCAGCCTCAAACATCTCAGTATCCTCTTGCAAGGTCTTCTGCACAGGAACTTGGATTTTCCTGACTTTCAGCACCTGATTTTTAGAATCTTGCCCCATGAATCCATTGGCCTAAGGGCTAAATGTGGCAGCAGGAGCACTGATGGGAATACAGCCACTGTGATTGACACAAGACAAAATCTCCTCCTCCCCTGAGTGAGAAGTCTGACTGAAAATGTCTGCAGGAGCCTAAGTATGTTAGAGATTAACCCTGTTCCCAGCTATGCCCCACTGAACACCACGTTTGCAGCATGCAGTTCAGGCCAGCTCATTTATACCTGTAGTGATAATGCACCACTAATGACAGATGGCATAAGCTGGCACTGCACTTTTATCTAAAGGCTCCTTCTGGCTCAATTATAGACTACACCATGGGTAGCACTCAGTCACTGACAAGCCAACTTTGAAAAACAAAATTAATTTTAAAACTGGGGAGGAGCAGGTTATGAAGAGGAAATTAGTTTTCTTGGGTAGGATAAATAAACTTTGAATAGACATATATTTCAGGGAGATTACCATGAAAATGAGCAAGGAGATCAATATCTTGTGGTAAAATTGCAGATTAGTCCATAAGCTATGCATTAAGCCTTGACACTTATTCTCAGCAATTTTGGAGTATTTATAGTTGCCTTCCTGGTGTGTCTTTCCTGAGGTCTATTTATCTGGTGATCTCTGAAAATAATTGAGCAGGAAACCTGAGAACATCTTTAAAAAATCATAAAGGCTCACTGTTTATGTTACTTGGGCAGAATTTTTTTCTTAAATTGCTGGAATGACAAGCAAGGCTAGCACATGCATAGTGAAGGGAAATCCACCCACATCAATACCAGAAGTCGAAAATGTTGGTTGGAAAATAATGGACTGGGGGGAAGTAAATCTCAAATCCTTCTCTGAACTTGCTGTTTTGTTTTGGTTTTTTTTTCACAGAGGAAGCTTAATATGATCTGGAGGAGCATGAGGTACCCTGGGAGCCTACAGAGGGTCAAACCAAGTTTTCAGCTCCAAAGGAGCCTTGAAGAGGGATGAAAATGCAGATATAATGCCCAGCAATGAAGGGCATCTTTCTGTGAATTTGAACTGGCCAGTGTCTTCAGCTAAACAAAAAAATCAGAGATAGGATAAAGGAAATCCTGCTCCAACATAGATCAGTCACAAATCCTTGCCCTTGTGGGTGTGCATGCATACCCATGGCAAGCATGACAGCTGGCTGGGAATGCCAGGGAGGGAATCACTGCCTCTTGCTGTCAGCAAAACTCTCATTTCTCCTTGCAAAGAGAAACAGCACCTCTGTGTGATGTGTACTGAGGGTACCAGATGAATCATTATGAACATACCTCATCTCCTTGCCCAAGAAGCAGCAGAGAAAACCCTTCCTCTCTTTGGAACAGAATTTAGGCCACCAACCAAAACCAGTGAGACAGGCAGACAGTCAGACACGGAGGGACATAACAACCCTTCATGGAGACACAGTCCTCAGGGAGCCATTGTCCTGGGCATGTTTCTTAAACTCTGTAACATGAGAAAGGAAATGGAAGAATTATCTCAAAGCAATTCCTCAATAGTGGGAATGCTGAATGGCTGTAATGAGGGAAACTGCTCAACACCAGCTATGGTCGGTGGGAGCCATCAAATCTGCAGGATCTGGCCTGATCCCTCTCTTTCCCTGACCCCAAGACTAAAGGAACAGGCCTCATTTGTATTCTGGTGAAAGATTTATA